GACAGGACTTGCTCAGTCCATTTATTTCTTCAAATAATAATCACACTAACAATGATAGTAGTTAACATTTTTGAGTGCTTACTGTATGAAAATTGAGACATGGTGCCAATATTTAAATAGCATATTTTACTTAATATTCACAGAAACCCTGTGAAGTAGGTTCTATTATCTCAGAAAAAGAAACTGAAACTCAGAGAATAACAAGGGACTGTGCTGGGTGCACAGTGGCAGAGGCAAACATGAATAGGATGTGAGTTTATTTGAACCCCAAATGTTTAAATCTTGGGGTTAATATAACATACATTTAAACAAACAAGCAAGAAAAAAAATGCACAGCAGAAAGTGAGAAATAACATGAGGAAAGACTAGATGAGGTGCTGTTATCTAGACGTGGACAGGACTCTTTCCAGCTGGGAAGATCTGAGACTGGGTCATGAACAGGTGGTTTCTTGAGTGGGTCCTGTAAAAATGAATATGATTTTGATGGCAGTAATGAGTAAGGACATTTGAGACTGATAGAAGAGTATATACAATATGTAGTGATGGGGAAAGATAAGGTACTGTCAAAGGACAACGTGTTTTCTGGTATGTCAGAGAAGTAGAATGTGTTAAGGGAAGCTGAGCACCAGAAAGATCCGGGTGTCACAGTTTGTGTAGGATGTTTAAAGCTAAACCACAGAGTTTAATTTTATCCAATAGAAGAGAACCCACAGAAGAGTTTCCATTTATTCATCAATTTATTCATTTATTCAAAAAATATTTATTGAGTGCTTATTATAAGCCAGGTACTGTGCCAGGCACCTGGGATAAGACACAGTCCCTTCTGTCAAGTCTTTACATTGGGTGGATGTGGGAGGGACAGATGACAGAACAATATGCATTGAGTGTAAGCACTATGGTATAGGAAGCTCTGAATGGGAGGGGCATGGAAGCCATGGAAGATCACGGAAGGCTTCCCAGGAGAAGTGACGTCTGGACTGATCCTTTGGTCAAGCAGGAGTTAAAGAGGAGAAAAGGAGAGATATGGGTGTTCCAGAGAGAAGAAGGAGCCTTGTCCCGGGAGCAAAGTGAGGGTGATTATTCCAGAAATGTGAGTGATTCTTTTAAGGCTCAAGCAAAGCATATGATTCTTCTTAATACTTTCTATTTCTTTGCTGAGTCTTTCTGTTCTTTTGTTTCAAGCATGCTGCAGTTGCTCATTAAAGCATTTTTATGATACCTGTCGTTTTAAAATTCTTGTCAGACCGTTTCAACACCTTTATCGTCTCAATGTTGGCGTCTGTTAATGGTTTTTTCTCAATGAAATTGAGATTTTCCTGGTTCTTGGTATTACCAGTGATTTTAATTGCATCTGGAAATGTGGGATTTATGTTGAAAGACTGGATCTTATTTAAAGGTTCTGTTTAGCACGCCTCCTTTGATACCACACTGGTGGGTCCAGGTTCCCCATTCAGCTGTTGACACTTGCAGGACAGAGGGGTGGGATGGGGTGAAGTGGGTACCTCATTATTGCTGGGCCAGGGTAGAAGTTCAGGCTTCCCAGTAGATATCTGCTGATACCACCCTGGTGCCATGTCATTCCTTGAGTCCAAAAGTCCCCCCAATTCTGCCTTCTTTCTGCCTATCAGAGTCTCCCTATGTTTGACTCATATATAATGTCCAAGGTTTTCAGACGTACTTAACAGGAGGCGTAAGAAAAAGTGTGCCCACTCCATCTTGTCTGGAACTGGAAGTTCAAGTCAAAAATAAGAGAGAGGACAGGAAATCACAAGCCATGAGACTGGAGAGTTAGGCAGGTTCTACACCAGTTATTCTCAAAGCCCTCTTACACTCTTAAAAATTTAGAACTTCAAAGAGCTTTTGATTTTGAAGGTTACATCTATCAATAATTACTATTTCAAAAATTAAAATTGAGAAAATTTTAAATTATTATTAATTTGTTTAAAAATAACAATAATCATTCCATTACATGATAATGTAAGTAATGCTTACAGAAAAGTGGCTTAAAGAAAAGTGACAGTGCTTAAAGAAAAGTGGCTAAACTGGAGACGTATGGCTGGGCACAGTGGCTCACGTCTATAATCCCAGCACTCTGGGAGGCTGAGGTAGGCTGATCACTTGAGGTCAAGAGTTCGAGACCAGCCTGGCCAAAATGGTGAAATCCTGTCTCTACTAAAAATACAAAAGTAGGTGGCATGTGCCTGTAATCCCAGCTAATCAGGAGGCTGAGTGAGGCACCAGAATCACTTGAACCCAGGAGGTGAAGATTGCAGTGAGCCAAGATCACACCATTGCACCCCAGTCCAGGCAACAGAGTGAGACTCTGTCTCAAAAAAAATAAATAAATAAACAAATAAATAAATAAATTGGAGACCATAGTGGAAAGATGAAATCAACTGGACTTGGTTCTTAGGTGTAATAATGGCACTCTGGTTATGTAAGAGAATGTTCTTATTTCTAAGAGATGCACACGGGAATCTTTAGGGATGAAGGGCCATAATGTGTGTAATTTACTTTCAAATGGTCCATCATATTCACACACACATACACAGTACATCTGCGAGATAATAAGAATGAAAAGGTAAATAGCATCTTAGTAGTATTATTAAAAAATATATATGGAGAGAGGGGAAGGAGAGAGAAAGCAAATATGAGACAAAATATTAGCAATTTTGAATCTACATGAAAGCAATCTAGTAAATGGTGAATCATTTTACTCTTCTTCCAACCCTTTCTGTAGGTTTGACAATTTTCAAAATAAAAAGGTGGGGGGAAAATGAAAAAAAAAAAACAACTTCAAAATGTCTTGGAAATCACTGATTAGATATGACAGAAACGGGGTGACTTTCTGGTTTCTTGCCTGGCAACAGAGTAGACAGCATTGTCATTCCCAAGACAGAAGTGCAAGAGGAGCAATGGAATTGGAGGGATGATGAGTTCAGTATGGAATGCGTGGACTTTGAGAGGCTCTGGGCTCCAGCAGGCAATGTGCAAGCCTGAAGTTTTTGATAGGGAAATGTGGTAGAGATGCAGACATGGGTGTCTTTAGAATGTAGACGATAATGGAAGGTACTGGGGCACACTGGAGTATCAAGGGCATGTGTAGAGAATGAGAAGAGATGAGGTGTGAGGATGAAATCCTGGTGAACACTGACATTTCAGGGTCAGCAAAGAATATCGGAGTAGACGACTTCCAAGATGGCCCACAACACCACCTCTTCATAGGCAGGCTCTTGTGTAGTCAGCTCTTCTCACACTGTATCAGGGTTGGTCTGTGAGACAAGAGGGGCGGAAGTGATGGCATGTCACTCCTGAGATTACATCATAAAAGACATGGTGGCTTTCATCTAGGCTTGGTACATGCTCATTCTTGCTCATCCCTTGTTCTGGGGGAAGCTGTCTATCATGTCAGGCTACAGGGAGTTCCATGTGGGGAAGAACTGAAACCTCCTGCCAAAAGCCATGTGAGGAAGCTTGGGAAACCTTGGAAGAGTATCCTTAAAAAAAAAGTTTTAAATTAAACATAAATAAATACATAAACAGCACAACTGCAATCTCATGAGACAACCCAAGCCAGACAACTCAGGTAAACCATTCCACCCAGCTAAATTGTTCCAGATTGCTGACCCTAAGAAACTGCGTGAGTCCGGGTATGGTGGCTCATGCCATAAACTCAACCCTTTAGGAGCCTGAGGTGGAAGGTTTGCTTGAGGCCAGGAGTTTGAGACCAACCTTCACAAATAATGAGAACCCCCGTCTCTACAACAAATTAAAAAATTAGCCAGGCATGATGGCACGTGCCTGTAGTGCCAGCTAAACAGGAGGTGAGGCAGGAGGATTGCTTGAGCCCAGAAGGTTGAGGCTGCAGTGGGCTGTGTTTGTGCCACTGCATTCCAGCCTGGGCAACGGGGCAAGATTCTGTCAGAAAAAAAAAAAAAATCAAGAAACTGTGAGAGAATCCATGTTGTTTTAAGCTTCTGAATTTTGGGGTGATTTGTTATGCAGCAACAGATAACAAACACAGATAAGCCTCAAAGAGGGAATACGTCGAGATAGGAGAACCATTAGCCTGGGATCATGAGAATATTTCATGGAGGACAGCCTAGAATATGGTGGCTAATACTACTGAATGGTGGAGGTTTGGAATTTTCAACAAAGAGGTGATTTATAACCTTGGTGAAAGCAGTCAGGAGAGTCGGGGGGGGCGGGTCGTGGGCAGAGACCAGATTATAATAGGCCAAAGAACGAATAAGAAAAGCTGTAATTTTTCCATTATCACATTTATTGAGGGGAAAAGTACAGTAAGTATCATAATCCTAATTTTAGATATGAGAAAGCCAAAGTCACATTGCAATTATGTGGCAAAATCCTCCTGACCGTTCCACCAGTGATACATTAAATAATTTTCTCTGGTAGCAAGGTGGCTCCTGCCTATAATCCCAGCACTTTGGGAGGCTGAGGTAGGAGGATTGCTTGAGGCCAGGAGTTCAAGACCAACCTACTCAACATAGCAAGATCTGCCTCTATGCAAATAAAAAATAATAAAAATAAATTAGCCAGGTGTGACGGTGCATACGTGTAGTCCCAGCTACTCAGAGGCTGAGGTGGGAGGATCACTTGGGCCCAGGAAAGAGGCCAAGGCTGCAGTGAACCATGATCGCACCAGAGCACTCCAGCCTAGGCAACACAGTGAGACTCTGTCTTTAAAAAAAATAATTATCAGCCAGGAGCGGTGGCTCACACCAGTAATCCCAGCACTTTATAGGCCGAGGTGGGCGAATCACGAGGTCAGGAGATTGAGACCATTCTGGCTAACATGGTGAAACCCCGCCTCTATTAAAAATACAAAAAATTAGCCAGGCGTGGCGGCGGGTGCCTGTAGTCCCAGCTACTCGGGAGGCTGAGGCAGGAGAATGGCGTGAACCTGGGAGATGGAGGTTGCAGTGAGCCAAGATCGCACCACTGTACTCCAGCCTGGGTGACAGAGCGAGACTGTCTCAAAAAAAATAAAAAAAGAAAAAAGAAAAGAAAAGAAAAGAATATTCTCTCCACCTACATTCATTACTGTTTCTGGGAAGAGTTCTGATAAATTCAGTTTTTGCGACTTTGTTCCATTTCCAGTGATATTCTTGAATCCCTTATGATTGTGGTGACCCAGCCAGCTTCCCAGCTGGGATGCTCCTTCATCTGGTTCTGCCTAACTCACCCCCGAGCCCCCACTGCCTTGGGTAAGTTCTTAGAAAGAGAACTGACAAATTAAAGTGAGACATTCTTTCATTCATCCCATAGCAATTTATTGAGCTTCTGATAAGAGCTTCAGCTACCTGGCTAGCATTCTTAGACATCAATGGGCAACCAACCTGTCATTGGCAGTTTTACATATGAAGTCAGCACTCCACAAGCAAAAGAAAATCTGCGTTAGCTTCCTAGAGAGGGGGGCCCTACTCAAGGTTGAATAGAGCACAGTAAAATTCAGCAACTGCAGCATCAACAAATGAAGCAATCAGGGTAATCATTCAGCAGTGATTAATAGCAACATCTCTTCTTGGGTCTCAGACGTGAAGCTATACATAGGTAGCTATTCCTAGCTCTAACTCTATTTTAATGTATTTGGCGTTCAGTCAATCAATTCACCTTCCTCTGACCCATACAGTCTTCCCTTCGAAAGGTTTCCTGAGTAAGGTTTGCCCTGGGGGTGCAACCCACTTCAGACCTGCTTGAGCTGCACCTAGCGGCCACATGGTGTCGTGGTCACTTTCTCTGGCTTTGGAGTCAGACATGCCTGTATTTGGAGTCCAGCTCTGACATGTTAGCTATGTCACTTTGAGCCGATTACTTTTTTAACCTTTTCCATCCTCGGTTTCCTCATCTGAAAAAAAAAAAGCGGGGGGCAAGGGATAATATCTACCTCATAGTATTACCATAAGTATAACAGGAAGAAAAAGATGTAATGTAAAAAGTGACTGCCATATTTCTTCATTCTAGGAGGGAGCAGGATTCATCACAGAGGTGCTTCACTCATTTGTGGAGGAATAAACACTTTGTTCAACTTTTTTGGTTAAGAAAAGCAGCTGAGGATCCAATTCTCAGCTCCTCCTCTGATCTCAGAGTGAGAATAGCCCAGAATGGAGATGTTTGTTCAAAAGAGTTAAATTTCCTTTGTGTAATAAAGTAACAGTAATGAGATATTTTCAGGGAGAGGTGGAGGGCAGTAGAGAGATGGAGGGGAAGAATTGGGGAAAGAGAGAAATGACTGCAGGCAGCGCTCTGGGAGGCAGAGCAGCCAGGAAAAAGGACGATGGGCATGCTAGTGTGATGATTTTCAGCACTTCCTGGTCTGAGTGGTGCTGTCACAATCCTATGTTGCCCTGACCTTTAGTAAAAGTCTTCCATGCAAAATGACCTTATGTCCTGGGGCTCTTTGGGGAAAGAAGGAAAGAAGGGGCCCATTTGCCATGAATGAGAGTGATGTGATAAGAGGACAACATTGTCAGCAGGCGGGTGAAAATGCCCAAATTCAGTTGGAGCAGGAATTCATAAGGAAAAGTGATCACAAAAAATGTCAGTCCATTCCCCAAGAGTTTTTGGAAATCTTGGCTGGGTGTGGTGGCTCATACTTGTAATCCTAGCACTTTGAGAGGTCAAGGCAGGAGGATCACTTGAAGCTGGGAGTTCGAGAGCAGCCTGAGCAATAAAGCAAGGCTTCATCTCTACAAAACAAACAAACAAACAAACAAACAAAAAATTAGCTAGACATGGTGGCTGGCACCTCTCACCCCAGATACTCAGGTGGCTGAGGCTGGAGGATGGCTTGGGCCCAGGAGTTCGAGTCTGCAGTGAGCTATGATTGGGCAACAGAGCAAGACTCTGTCTCAAAGTAAAATAAAATATATATATATATATATATATATATATATATATATATACACACACACACACACACACACACACACACACACATATATATACACACACACATATATATATATATATATATTTTGGGAAAACATGGACTCTCCAGACTTGGGTTGTTAATGAAACATGATTCAAGAAGGCTGGTAAAAATTAAGTTACATAAGGATTAAATGAGAGAATGTACATAAAGCAATTAGCTCAGAGCCCAGTTCTTGATAAGGATTCAACTTAAAATAGCCCTTATTACTATGACTTAGTGTTCAATTTCCTCTTTTCTTCACCCCTTTTACTTCAAGGGTTCACAATCTACTTAAAAATTTTGATATAGTCACTTGTTTATTCTACAAACATTTATCAAAGTCCTTTGATGTGTCAAATAAGTTAAATAATTTCAGGCAGTAGTAATTGTCATAGCTAATGTTTTTGAGGGCTTAGTAAATACTAGGTACCGTGCTAAGTGCTTTACATAGCTTTTTATATTTAATCCTCAACAGTCCTAGGGAGGAACAATTATATTCCCACTTTACAAATGAGGTTAGAGAATAAGGCACAGTGAGTTCAAGAGACTTGCCCCAGATCACACAGCTAGCCAGTGGGAGAGCCAAGGTTTGAACCCAGGCTGCTAGATTTCAGTGCACGCTTTTTTTTTTTTTTTTTTTTTTTTTTGAGACAGAGTCTCACTCTGTTGCCCAGGCTGGAGTGCAGTGGCGCGATCTCGGCTCACTATAACCTCTTCCTCCCATGTTCACGCCATTCTCCTGCCTCAGCCTCCCCAATAGCTGGGACTACAGGCTCCTGCTACCACACCTGGCTAATTTTTTTGTATCTTTTGGTATAGATGGGGTTTCGCTGTGTTAGCCAGGATGGTCTTGACCTCCTGACCTTGTGATCTGCCCACCTCAGCCTCCCAAAGTACTGGGATTACAGGCGTAAGCCCCAGCGCCTGGCCTAGTGCATGCTTTTAAGCTCCACGCTACACTATTTTTTATTTAATTTTTTTCTTTTTGTGTCTTCTCATGCTTGCTTCCTAAATATACTGTTTTTTAATGCAACTGACAATGTGTGTGAGTTATGGCGTACAGAGTCAGAGGGATCATGAGGGAATAGCCACTATGGGGACATTATCCTACAAAAATGAGTGGGATTTTCTTGCCTTCTTTTCCCTCAAACCTCATATTCCTTTTCCAGCTCTAAGCACTCAAGATGGAATGGCAGTAGGATCCCAACACTAATATCTGTCCAGAACTGGTCATCAGCTGGCTTGAGTTCTCCCATTCTGCCTGTGCCTACCCTTAGCAAGGGGAAGAACAAGATGGAAGAGAAGGAAGAGACCTGATTGAACCAGCCAATAGATAATTAGAAGCTGACTATTTTGCAATAATACAGCACAACAGCAATAAATAAATCAATCACTTGGGGGGTGGAGAATGGCTTTCCTATAATCAGCTATTAAAGGCTTGTACCACTAATTAGTCTATTAATTAGAACTGTTCTCTTCCTTCCACATGTTATCAGCCTGCCAAGGCAGAGAAAACTCAGCCCCGGGGGCAGGAGATAAGAGAAGTAAGACATACAGAAGTGGCAGATTCAAACAGTTGGGCTTGTGTGTGTTTTAAAAGCACAGTTCTTAGTGCCCCGGGCATATCCACCTGCTAGTAGGAAAAGAACGTTTATCAAAAACCAAAGGGCTGTTGTCTGTGTTGAGCAGAAAGGGGAAAAAAAGATTTAATCTTTAAAGAGAAAAACCACTATAACCACACTCAGGGATCTGTGAAGGGCAGTTCCACTGGGTGTTCCCTAGAGCACAGGACACAGTGAGAAACAAGCATACTTAGTGCCAAGGCAGCATAATCAGAAGACCCAGGGGCAGAGGCACTCTGCTCCTACTATGTGCCTGGCACCACCCCCATTCTTTATGTTTGTAGTGTCTTGTCTGATGATTTCATCTACATTCTCAGATGCCCTTGAGTTATTTCTGGGAGTGCCCAAAAAGGGACCTCATATGAGCCCTCACAGCTGTGGTCACCAAAAGATGGCTGCTCTGCTCTGCCTCTCCTGTTGTGGCTCTCAATGGGTCATGCTCCCTGCCCACCAAGAGCTTGGGAAAGCCTCTCATCACCGTGCCTGACCTTGTTTTGCAAGCTCAAAGGGCTCTGCCTGGGCCCAGAAACTCACAAGTCATTCTTAAAGAGTTCCAACGAGCTCTGAGCCCCACAGCCGTCTCCACACTCCTGACAAATGCACACTGAGGAGTACTGCAGCCTTCATACTCCTTTTTTCACTTTCCCAGCTCCTCAGATCTGTTCTTTCCTTCCCTATTTACTCAGCAGACATCCCCTTGCACTCACATGAAAAATAGCAGACACGGGGTGGGGTTTTGGGGCAGGTGTCTCCACTAGCAACAGCTCACCAACAGTTGATAGGTTATCTTGCTTAATCCTCCCAACAGCCGTGTGATGGGCTATCAATCCCATTTTGCAGAATGGGGAAACTGTGGCTCAGAGAGGTTAAGCAATTTGACCTGGCTTCCATGGGCTGTGACAAAGCACTTGGTAAGAGCTCAGTAAACATTTGCTGATGGACAGAATTGAAAATATGGAGGAAATGGAAGATCTCCAGCTTCTGAGAAGCTCAGAGTCTGCGTGGGTCCAACTACATAGTGAAGCGGGCTGTCAACTGAGGTTGCCCCATTAGAGTAAGAGAAGGGGCAGAGGTAGAGAGCATAGGGTCAGACCCAAGGCCAATTCTTCCCCACTCCATTCTTTCCTATCTTGATAACTGTTGATATATAGTCCATTTTCTACCAACAACTCACCCCTGCCCCCTGCGTCCCAACAAGCACACCCACACACACACGAAAACCCTTCAGAAGCGGTCAGTGGTGACATTTATGAGCTGCATGATCCTCAGGATGTCAACATGTATGTGTCCCAACATTGATACCTACTTCGGGAATGGAGAGAAGAGCAGTGGTGATGTGGTGGAGAGAGTCTGAGCTTGGAACCCCGTGTCAGGCCTCTGTTCCTTGGTAACCAGCTGGGTGACCTCAGGCAAATTGCTTCACCATGTCTACCTTCAGTTTCCTTATATGCAAAGTAGGAAATGTCAGCTGTCTATTCAAAATGTTATTGTGAGGATCAAGTGAAGTAATACAATACTTCTCACTAACGTATATATATATGTGTGTGTATACATATATATGTGTGTGTATATATATAGAGAGAGAGACAACTTTAAAATTACAAAATGCTTTGTTACACATGTATCTCTGGCCACCTTCAGAGCAAGCCTAATTATTATTATTTTCATTTTTTAGATAAGGAAATAAAAAACTCAGAAAGATTGAAATTCACTTGAAAACAGTGAATAGTGCTATTATTAAAAAGCAGTAGGCCTGTCCCACCTTATCTGAGTTTTAGATTACGAAGCACCACTGCATTTACCCCCAGAGTCTCTCATCTGGGGTATGTGCCATGTTCAAAGCTTTCATTTATTTAATAAATATTTATGTGTTCCCATTTGGCACTAGGTATTGTGCCAGGCATTGAGGATACTATCGCAGAGGTATTAGTGTGGCAGGGAAAGCAGACGTCATATAAGAACAATAACAATATTGTGTTTTTCACATTATAGCAGAGGAAGGGCCAGGTGGTGCAAGAGGAGACAGTCGGGAAACCTGAGGAATAGGTGGAACAAAGTCTCAGAAAGTCGGGGGGGGCCAGGCGTGGCAACTCATGCCTGTAATCTCAGCACTATGGGAGTCTGAGGCAGGCAAATCGCTTGAGCTCAGGAATTAGAGACCAGCCTGGGCAACATGGCAAAACCCTGTCTCTACAAGATACAAAAATATTTGCCAGGCATGGTAGCGCATGCCTGTAATCCCAGCTACTCAGGAGGCTGAGTTTGAAGAAATCACTTGAGCTGGGAAGGTCAAGGCTGCAGTGAGCTGAGATCACACCGCTGCACCCCAGTGACAGAGTGAGGCCATCTCAAAAAAAAAAAAAAAAAAAAATTGTGGGAGAACTCTTATCAAGGTGGGAAAAACATGGTGTTTAGTACAAGTGAAGCATATAGGTAAGAGTGGAGGCTGTGCCAAGACGGGAGGCTGGAGAGTCAGTTGGGACCAGATCTAGGAGGCCTTGTTAGCCAGGTGAAGGAATTTGAACCTCATCCTTAGTCCACAATGAAACTACATAAGAGTTTTACGTAGGGAAGGGATTGGTATGTTTGCAAGATCCTTCTAAATGGGATATTGTATTAGTCCAAGCTGCTATAACAGAATACCATAGACTGAGTGGCTTAAGCAACATTTATTTCTCACCATTCTGGAGGCAAGGTAGTCTCAGATCAAGGCATCAGCAGATCTGTGTCTGGAGAGGTCTGCTTCCTGGTTTGCAGTTGGCCATCTTCTCACTGTATCCTCCCGTGTTGGAAAACAGAGAGAAAGAGAGGGAGAGAGAGAAAGAGCACACAAACAAGCTTTAGGGAGATATAGACATTCAGTCCACAGCAGATGTGAAGACTGGATCTGGGCCTACTGAGGCTGGAGGCAGGTAGGCGAGTTAGGCTAGAGACAAATGCAGAAATCCCAGCAAGAAATAATGGTGGAATGAGCTAGGAATAAAGAGAGGGCCAATCTTAGAGATTTAAGATTTAGGAAGTAGAATCAGAATGTGGTGATTGACTGGCATATGTGCAAGAAAGGAGGGAAGTGAAATGGAAAACTCAAGGATGAAATCCACGTTGCTTGTGCACCAGGCGGGTGGGGACACCCCTCACTGGACTAGGAGACACTGGTGGTAGAATATCTGCCATTTGGTATGTGCATCTTGCATGAACTTGTCTTGCAACTTCATCCAGGAACCCCTCAATTATGGCTGCCTTGCCTAGAGGAGCAGGAAAGAATGAGATGAGCCTATCAACTTGAGGATTCTGTTTTCCAGAGGCCTAGCAGTCCATGTGGTGGAGTATCAGGAAAGGAGGAGAGGTGCAGGTAAAGCAAAGGCATTCATCTCCCTGGGCCTCCTATTCTGTCAATCCAACCTCTCTTTGATTATTTAAGAACTGTTTGTCAAAGTCATACCATATAAGGCCCTTAGTAGTTGCAGAGGGAGAAACTGATCTTAAAAGAGTTTTACTATCTAGAAGGAGATAAGAAAACCAACCACAGAAATAAATACGGGTGTATGTATAACATGTTAACAGCCATAAAATACATACTCACAGAAAACTGAGGTCATAAATGGCATTGCTGATTGGGAAAATCAGAGAGGAAGAGGTTTTCGAGTTGGTCTTAAAGGACAGGTGGAATTTGTACAAGCAGAAATGTGAGATTGGGGGTCCAGTGGAGATATTCCTGAAGGCGGAAAAAGCATGAGATAAGATGGCAGCGTATTCAGGTAATCACCAGCTCGCTCTTTCTGCATAGGGTAGCTGCAGAAAGTGAGATATTAAGCTGGGATCCACGGAGCTTTGAGGAATTTCAGAATTCCCTGAAATATTGTGCAAAATTATATTTCCGTATGCATGCGCATTTTTTGAAGAGAGGGTCCATAGCTCTTCTGCAATTCTCAGAAGGGTGTAGATACAAGAAAAGGTTAAAAACAGTACTTGAAATTTCCGAATTAGAATTTACAGGTAGACTGGAGCATCTGTGCATGTGTGTTCTAACAAGCTCTGGAAGTGACTCAGTGCACACCTCGGATCTCTGGACGAGCCCATGGAGGCCTTGAGATGCCAGCCTCGAGAGCTTCCCACCCTTTTCCCACCCCTCGATTCTCCACCCCCATTTTACAAGGAGTCACCAGCCTCCCCACAGTCTCCACTGCCCTGGAAGAAATATGGCGAGGCAAGGTCAGAGGAACAGGGGGAAATCAGAATATCTTGCAAAGACTCTGGAGTCTCCTTCAGAGACAGGGTGGGTGGGAGCTGCTCTGCCCCAAGTCTAGCGACGGCCACACGGCCTGACAGGTCTCCCGCCCCGCCGTAAGCCTATGGTCAAATTCTGGGAATTTCCGAATCAGTTGGCCGGCCCGGCTGCGGCAGATTTTCCCGGACACGAGCTTGCAGCGCCCGACGCGGCCGCTGGGTGGCGCCGCGCGGGACGCCGAGCGTGGGAAGCGCGGGCGCGCGGGCAGGCTGAGCTCACACGCCCGGGAAGCGGCCGCCGCGGAGCCGGCGTCCGCAGCGGCTGCGCATCTCGGGCCTGCAGCGGGGCGCTTGGCGGGCGGGGGTGGGGGGGAGCCGGTTTGCGCAGTACCCCCGGAGGGAGGAAGGCCGCCGAGGTAAGGGCCGGGACCTGGCCAGGTGGGAGTGGGCACCTTGGGCCGGGCCTGCAGGGCGATCCCCGAGCGTCCCGGGGTAGGGTGGGCTCCCTGGGGACGATGCCGGAGGCCCCGGCCGCGCTCCGGTCGCGCCCCACCCCGGCTGCAGCGCGGCCTCGGGGCGCTGCTGGCCTCGCCGCGGGGGT